TACTTTTAGCTTTTTATTGCAAAATACAATATATATCAACTTAATATTTCTTAGTTTCATCCATTTTACGTGTTGTTGGTTCCAAACTTTGATTTTTCATACTCCTGTCAGTGTAACATATCTTACAAAAATATAATGTTCCTCATATACAAAATTAATCACAAAAATTTTTCTACGCGATTTTTCTCTATTTATTAATATTTAACGAATCTCCAAAGTACACAACTTGCCACCAGTAAATCCTCGTATTCCAGGATCTTCATCCTTCTGCCTCGTCTTCATCTTCTCCGGCAACATCCACAAAGTCGAACTCTTCAGTCACGCGAGTCCGATATATCGCGATCAAACCAGTAAGTATCGTTCCACGGATTTCTGAGGGTCGTCGGTAACGATAACGTGGAAAAAATAGTGACACGAAACGCGCGCTCCTCGTCGAACTCCACGGATTGGAAATTGAAATATGTCCGGAACAGTAAATCCTATCGGGCGCTATTCCGAACTTACGCCCTCCTGCGATTCGCTCAAAATCGTATAACTGTACCAAAAGAGGGTTGACGCGAAGAAAGGGTGCAGAAAGCCTTGAAAGTAGTGCGAGTCGATCTCCGAGACGAGTTTAATATGCTGGCAGTCGCATCAGGTTGAAAGTCGAGTAATTCATAAGGGCCAGATTGTTCGACAGACTAGCTGACGGCCACGGAAAACCGGATAAAGAGGCCTGTGTTTTCCTCGACCCTCCTTGTCGCAGTTTCCGTCACGGTTTTTTGCTTTATATCGCGCGTCTTTAATATATGTGCAAAGTTTTAATGGAAATATCGGGAAAGGGGGGGAGATGTAGCGTCACTTTCGGAGCATTTGTTTGGTAAGACGTTTCCCACCGGCGAGTTGGATGAAACGACGCTGGCTTGCGGGTAAAGATGGGGTTGCCTGCTTTATGTTCGTCGTTTTAACGAGAAATTCGACTACTGGCAGAATATCATATAACACCTGTATTTTAAACATACTGTTCACATCCTGGCACGCTCTACAAATTATCAAATTTTCATTAAGCACAGCTTTGATCAAGATTTTGTTGCAATTTTCAGATGTTCACAATTCGTCAAAACGTTCGTCGTAATTCTAGCTTTTTCTGCAGTTTGTCTCGCATTGTAACACACTTATCCCGATCTGTTAGATGCGATCGTTCACAACTATTTCTTTCTCCATAATTGTCGGGATCTTTTAGTAAATTCACGACTTCTATTAACTGTTTTGGCTATTTTTTTTCACAGAATAACGTTCTTCGTTTAATTTCATTATCACGTATTTCAGCTGAAATTAATTTTTTCCCGTGATACCCATTTTAATACGTACTTTAACTGACTGTATTTCACAGAAATGTTACGCTTTCGATAAGTTCCGTACGACTTGTACTCGCGATTGCAGACAATATTTACATTTTTGTCTTTTTATTTCTAAGAAATTGCTCGTCTCGGTGACAACATTCGACATAATACACGTGGTTAATCCATGCCAAAGGATATTGATGTGATAATCTACACAGTCTCTCTACTTACGATACGCAATATAAGAGTGTATTAGAGTATATAGAGTGTACTATCTTTTTATTTCTTTCGGGGTATTATTAAGTTTGTTACAAATATTGTACGTACACTACAGGTTTTTTTATTCAAACACTTATATTGTAAGATATATGATGTTATCTCGCGCCTTGTACTTGAATAAAAATTGAAAATCCATGTTATAAAAAAAAACCTGCGTTTCTCCAATTTATAAATCTCTCCAATAAGACAGGCATAACACCTTCTGACGATCCAAACATACAATATTTCGCTGCAGTTCACAGATAATTTCAAAGAATCCCTGTAAAATAGAAAAAAAAAAAAAAAGAAAGAATGAAATATCCCGCCGTTTCTTTCATTCTCCGAAAAACACGCGCACCAATTTATCTGTTACACCAGAATTTCTCAGATCGTGTGAGAAACCTTGTTCCACCTTGGTCTGGAACACCTTATCACCGCTAATACCTGCGCCACGTTCTCCTTACGACAGCTTTGAACAACCCTTGTGCGATGTTCACCGGTAATCCACGGCCGGGTCAGTCCTGACACTTTCCATGAACTTGTTCAAGTACGTATGGCAGGTGTAGTGGCTCGGACAAAAGAGCAATACGCTTCGAACGACCCTGATAGCGTATTGTCACTTGTCGGGCGCAGCAGCGTGTATTGTCCTCGCCATGGAGGTCCACTTGATCACGATCCACCGGTACTCGAGGCTCGCTCGTGTACCAGATAAGATGTCGATTGAAATTCATGCAGTCCTCTCCCCACCAGGGCTCACCTATCGCCAGCAGAAATCGCTCGTCGTATTGTTTCCGACCGAATCTCGGATCGGGCCTCGATCCGAGTGTCGACACAACTCGAGGCGAGTCGCGATCGAAACGATTTGCAATTCTTCGGCCGCGTATCATCCACCTAGACCGGAAGTTCTCGGTACTTCTCGTCGCAGGCACGTTTCGCCAATAAAAGGAAAACGGGAATAACTCGTTTCGTACTAGTTTTCGTACTAGTCGCCGATTTACATTTGCCAGATTTCTTCTAATCTCTTTTTTTTTTTATCGCGCGTCAGTTATCCTCGATTACTCGCCTTTCAATAGAATTTCAAGATCGACACGGTAAAGTGGTATTGAAAAAAATTAATATTTTTAATATTAAGAAGTTTCTCCTTTTAAATCCCCGTCCAATTGCCGCGTCGCTTCGTCTGTAGCAAATCATATTCGAAAAACCCCCTCGTAAAAACTCACTCGTTCTGCCAGTAACCGCCGTGTCGTGTTTTCGTGGGAATTAGTTTCAATCCGTATCAAATTAATTACCAAAGAAATTCTTCGTACGGATCGTTCGGCCCGATCGACATTTCGGCAAACGCGGTCGAACGAACGGATTTTCAGGGACCGAGTTATCCAGCAAACGTGGAAGTGGCCCGATAACGATTTACGTGGAGACTCGCGCGTTCCGGCGAAACGATCGATCAAAAACAGAGGAGGAAATACGCGCGTTGAAAACGTGGACGAGTAACGAGGAAGAGAAGAAGAAGGTCTCTTCTGCTCGCGTCGCGTCGCGCTCGAAAAGGGAAAAGGAAGGAGTAACGAGAAGAAGTGTCGAGGAGGTCGAGAAACGAGGAGGAAAAGAAAGGTTGCTGGGTAGAGAGAAAGGTTCGCCGGAGTGGAGGCTCCTTTTCTTCCTTTCTTCCACGTCCCCAAGGAGTAACTAACTGAACGAGAGTCAGGATAGAGGGTGTTAAGGTAATGCCCCATTAGTATGTGGCCCCCGTAGTAGCGCCGTAACACCACCGCACAGTGGTCAAACCGTGGTTTGTCTCATCGTCGTGTGTCCCCTTGCCGACGAGAACCATCGTCGTCTCTGTGTGTACCCGGGGACACAGACGCTCGATTTTCACGTACACACACGTACGTGTACGTACATGTAGACAATGTACATGTACACATGTACGTGTGTACGTGCCGTGAGTATGTAACTGCTGTACGAGAACGAGACCTGTCAATAGCCGGCTTGTTACCGCGACAATGATCGGCTTAACCAACGGGAAAGATCCACCCAGACGTACTGGATTTTCGGAACGGACAGACCACCGGATAGCGTGTCAACATCGTTTCCCTTCGTCACCGCGAATCACCGCTCCATCGTTCGGTGATTCTGATTCGAGTCGTCATCTCAAGATGCATTTAAGAGGACTGCGAGGGCCGCGAGCACGCGATTTATTGGCCGGATTACGCTGGATCAAGTAATCGTAAATATTGAAAGTTCGGTTTTTTTGGGGAGGATGCGCTGGGAAAAGTGGAAATATGTCGAATAGCAGATACTTGGATTGACTACTTTTATGAGAATGGTCTGAGTTTATTGATATCTGAGCGGTTTATTGATATCTTTTGATTATTTGTTTGTGAGGATATACGTCATTTAAAAAAAAAAAAAA